ACAGGAGTAAAGTACCACATTAGTCATGCATAAATACTGTGTGTAATGTAAGACAATACATATACTTAACTTATACACACACATGCATTCCAGTAAGTTCCAAGAAAATACAAGTTTTCTGCCTGGTTGCTTCATTTTCTCCCATTTGATATCTTAGAGCCCATTCTTTGATTTGTCTACCTCTTCCACAGGCATTATACACAATCAATAGGCAAGAGAGTGTCCATGCATTGTCTAAATTTCGAAGTCAAGTATTTAATATGCAATTCAAAAATACCAACATCAGCAGCAGCAGCAGCATGATCATAACACTGGTGTCTAATATTGACTGGATTCTCCCCAAGTGCCAAGCACTGTGTTAATGGCTTTGTATACACTATTGTCAACCAGTTAATAATTGCTAGTCTCACAGTGCCAGAAGGTTAGTTACCAGAAATACAAAGAGTCTCTATTATGAAACATGTGTATTATGGTTGCTAGGCAAACGGAAAATGTGGTGCAAGTTCTAAAATGCTAGGAGAATGTCTACATCAGTGGATCTTCATGTGTGGGGATGCTGTGGTCGGCTTGCTTTATGTTCTGGGGAAATAGCGTCCCAATAAATCTAGTCTGCGTTATTTTCTTAGTGCAGGTGAGTGGAAAAGGCTGCTGCCTGCAGAAACTTTTTTTTTTTTTTTTTTTTTTTTTTTGAGAACCCCTGAGGACAAATCTTGCCTTTTAATTCTATGGTTGAGAGAAGTCTTGGTTCTGAGTTGAGTCTTTGCCAGGCAGTGGCCTCGCTGTGCCGGAATAATTTGGATGCAGCCTCAAATAAAGCAATCAAAAAGAAAATTCCTCGGAAAGTCTCACTGGTATTTAATATTTTATTCATTCCCATGTTATTGTGCTTCGCCTGCGGTGAAACAGCCTCGAAACAGCCTCGGAGGAGTGAGGCATTAGGAGGCTGACAAGCGTTTTCCCATGAATTGCTACTACAATACAATGGCATTTTGTTTGCTGTTTTTGTTTCCTTGTCTTCTAACATTCTTTCTGACTTTCAAGGAAAAAAAAAAAAAGAAGAAGAAAAAGAAACCCTCTTATGAATGGCAAGAAAAGGAAAGAAAAGTTTCTTTTAAACTTTCAACCTTTTTCACTTGGTACTGGGTAGCATGTAAACATTTTTTTTCTCATGGTATATATGCTGGTAGTCTCTTCCCTCTTTTGTGCTTTAAATGACCTTTTTTCCCCCTTCTTTTACCACATAACATTGCCTTTCCATTATTGATTCAAAAAATCAGCAGGGGAAAAAAATCAACCGTGTACACATATTAAGAAAGGAAAGTCAGAGGAAGATGGATCAACCATCCATCTATCCATGTGGCCATTTATCTATCAATCCATCTCCCTACCTACCCGCCTCTATTAAAATAAATAGCAGGCACTGTACACATTGCTGGTTGGCTCAAGTTGTGATCTGGACAAAAGGTCTGTTTGGGAAAAGGATGCTGAAGCTCTAATTCTATTTGTGCCGGTTGAAAATCAGGAGGGGTTTTTCTACACTTCACTTTTATTAGATTATTTCTTATAGATGGTTTCTTTTTTCCTCCCAGACGCGTGGTGGAGGCTGCTGAAGCAGTTGGTCTATAGTTGGAATAATTAAATTAACCATTTGGTACAACTTTTAGGGGAGAGCTCGCGTGTAGAAAGCACAACTCGAACAAAACAGGGCGCTGGGGCTGGGCTCTGGCCTGGCCCCAGAGGCCTTTCATCTTTGGAGCAGAAGCAAGACCCCGGGCCACAAAAGACGGGCAAAGGGGACGACGGGCCAGGGATGGTGGGGGAAGGGGGTTGGGATGGGGAGAAGGACGGTGACACCGAACAAAATAAACCTACAAGGCCTACAAAGAGGGGAGGGGGAAAATGAAGTCAAGCGCATTTGCTCATCCGACCGTGGTCCCAGAGCCGAGGTCTCCTGGTACAAAGGGAAGAAGGCGAGGCCGGGCACCAGGGGGCGCCTGGAGAGAGACCAGGGCCGGCGGCACCTGGGAGAGGGCTGGCGCCAGGATCCGAGGAGGCGGGGAATCAAGCGGTGGGAGCCCCGAGTGCAAGGCGGGGAGAGGAAGCCAGGGGGGAGCGAGGTGCCGCGGGGAGCACGAGGTGGTGCCCAGTACAGGCCTCGGCCCTGCCTGTCCCTCGCCCACTCTCCCGGGTACCTCCCCCCACCCCTGCCCACCGCCTCCCCAACTTGTACCTCCTTGACCCGCTCCCCTCAGCGCCCCCCGCCCCCCGCCCCCCGCCCCCCGCACCCAGACCTCGCCCGGCCGTGTGGCCCAGTCCTGGCCCCTTTGCACCGCTTCTCCGGGTGCCAGTTCCAAACGCCAGGTCAACGCTGCATCCCCTCCCCAAAGGAACTGCCTCCTGCACAGACTGAATCCCAAAGTTCAACACCATCCAAAGCTGCCCAAACAGCCCTCGCTCCTCCCAGCGCCCTCACACTCCGGCTCCACGCCCGCCTCAGTGGCTTCAGGCCCGAGGACGGTGCCAGGTGGGACCCCGGGTGGAGCTGCCTCGCACCGGCTCGGCATCGGCCCCGGCGGCGCGGGGCGGGGATGCAGCGTCCTGAGCTGAGGGCGCGCGCGCGCGGAGACACCGCTCAGGGTGCACCAAGGAGTGGGTGCCAGGAGGGGTGTGGGCCTGGCTATTGCCAAACACCGACCTTGAAGCCAAAATGCATTCCTTCCCAGACACCCATTCTATGCTACCCTATTCTGCAGAGAAAAGCGCTTGCAGCCCACAGAAACGGGGTGGGGAGTTGATTGGCCCAGGGGGTGGGTGCCATTCAGGGCCGCTCCCAAATCCCCATCCTCCAGTTCAGGCCTGGGGCGGGCGGCAGGGTCACAGGGGAAGACTGGGAAGCACACGCCCACCCCAAAGTCCGAGGGCTTCCAAAAACTTGGACGATCTCAGCCATGTGCTGGACAACCTACCCCCCCCTCCACCCCGCCCAATCCCGAAGGTGGGGGCAGGCTAAGTCCTGGTGGGGAAATTCCACGTGCAGCGTCCACAGGGGCACAGCCACCTCCCGGCCCAAAAGCAGATTCATATTCATGAGAGCGTTAAATAAAGACAGATCCCCACTGTAAGCCACTTGGATTCGCATCCGTCTCTGCCGGCCTTTAGGTTTAGGGGACTGGAGACAGATGCTTGCATCTCTTTTCTCCTCTTGTCTGGTGACCGTAAAGAAAAACCATTTAGAGCGTGGCCATTTGTTTGCCGCCGCAGTAAAACCTTGCGCGCATTCATTTTCATTTCGCCCCCGTGCACAAAAAAGTGCACACTGGTCACCAAGGGCCCTTCTTTATCAAATACGCATTGTACAACATGCAACTGCAATAAAACCATCAGCCCTCCCCATAAAACTATCAGCAGGTTCCTCGGCGGCCCGGCTGCCTGCACTCGCGCCAGCAGCGCTTGCTCACGTCCAGAGGACGCCCCATCACCTGAAACTCACCCGGCGGAGCGGCGCGGGGCTGGGGGGCCGCTGTCTTGGTTTAATCCATTGCGGCGTCCGTTGCAGTTTAGTGCTCAATAAAACACCGTGGCAGCGGAGAGCGGGCGCCCATCCACTCCCCGGCACTAGCATCGAATTAAACCACTTAGTTTGGCAAACACTGAACGCCTAAATGCCCCTATAAAGACTTTATGAGTTTGTTACTTTAATTACTGACTTGTTACAGAGCACATAAAGGGGGTAATGAATGCAATAAAACTAATTATCTACACATTTAATTCATATAAAATATCCAGGGTTTGTTTACACCACACGGCGATTCAACTAAGCATTCCCCCTCTTGTCCACCGAGAGGAAGGATTTAATGAAATAGTTTCCCTTATTCTGCTAGAGCCTAACGAACCAAATGAAAATTACCCTCCGCTTAAATCATGGGGCCACCGAGGTCCACAAATCACCGTTTGCAGAATTCTTTGTTTGCCTCCCCGCTAGCACCCATAGAGCCTGAGGAACTGGACAAGAAAAATGCCCAACCTAGAACCTGGGCATTTAAAGAGTAAGGATTCTCTCACTGTAGTCAGTGAACCTAAAAGGCAAACAGACAGCCATCCTCGAGTCTGGGGGGGGGGGGGGGGGCTGTGAGCACCTAAAACAGTGGAGGCAGAAAAAAAGAGAGGGAGAGCACCCTAGAGGGGTGGAAGAGACACATTTGGGGATATTGCAAGTTCACTTGCTAGTTAGGGCGTCATTAAAATGAACAGCCACACAGAACCCCCAAACCAACAAAATGCTAACCTCATGCTAAGGCAGAAAGACAGAGCTGAGCGCAAAGAAGCCATCGTTTGAGAATTCAGATGATTTACATTCAAGAGCATTGTTCTTTTATTTTTTTTAAACGACGGTGTAAGCTGAGTGTCTAGAAAAGCACATGAAGCCGAGACAAGAAATGCAATTTATAAGATGCTCTTAAAAAAACAACAACAACAACACCCTCTACCAGGTGTATTTTAAAGAAATTCGCTTATCGTTCACATAAACCCCCTTGGCTCACTTACTCTATGTTACAGGGCGCCTGAGTCTTGCCAATGTCCCAGTCCTTTATAACATTTCATGCACTTCGGGGGGTAGGCTTGTTGTTAAATTGAGCGTGTAACGCTCTTACAAAACAGGTTTTCTATGACATCAAGGTTTCTTCTTCCTAACCGAGGGGGGAAAAAGAGGACGAAGAAGGGGGAAAACACACACACACCATCTCAATTTATGCCTAAGGTATATGATCAGTTAAAAAGGCTTAAAAGCTCGGGGAAATTGGATCAGGGAGAATCGTCACCCAACTTTCATTATTTCCAAGTAGTGTGATTGAATTAAAGGGCAGGGAGCTGGTTAGAAGGGAGGATCAGGGGCTCAGTGCGTAATGGTGTGGTATTAAATTCTAATTAGAGATGCAGGAATCAATGATAGGGAGGTTGGACAGCTCAGTTCCCCAGTGCCAGCCCAATAGACGGATGAGTTATTGTCATGTAAAAAGCGCCAGCAATAAGACCAACCGCTTTGCTATTGTCCAAGTGGAAAGAGCCAAGTTTATTATGAGGACTATATGCTCTAGAGACCTCAGACAAGGCATCTCATAGGAGGCTTTTTCATAAAACTAGGCTCTGCTGGTAGTAAGGAGGCCAGTTTGGAGGCAGGCGTGGAGCTGTGCACATCTCCCCACTCCAGCCACCTTCTCCATACCCATCTTTTATTTCATTTTTCCACTTGGCTGAGCCATCCAGAGCCTTTTCAATGTATAAAATGGAATATTCTTACCTCAATTCCTCTGCCTACGAGTCCTGTATGGCTGGGATGGACACCTCCAGCCTGGCTTCAGCCTATGCAGACTTCAGTTCCTGCAGCCAGGCCAGTGGCTTCCAGTATAACCCGATCAGGACCACTTTTGGGGCCACGTCCGGCTGCCCGTCCCTCACGCCGGGATCCTGCAGCCTGGGCACCCTCAGGGACCACCAGAGCAGTCCGTACGCCGCAGGTAAGGACCGCCAGCTTTCTCAGCGGAGGAAGCTGCCTTTCCGCCCGTATATAGGAAGCCTTGATTGCATTTGAAAATGGAAATGTGTTTAGTATTTACCAAACGAAATTTGCTTACACAAATGAAAGAATTTATCACGTTAGAAGCGATTGCAGGGAGGGGTAATTCACTTACAGGGTTACACTATCCTAGTCACACCCGAACCGCCAACAAAATTATCTTAAGCTGCCAAAATGATAGGCATAATTTATTTACTTTGCGATGAGACGTAAAGCTTAGAAAATAATTAAATAACAAAGAGTAAAGCTCATTACTGGCAGTGTCTCTTTTTTTAAAGAACCCGACAGCGGCTCACACCTCTTGGGCTGGTCATTTTGAGGATTACTTCTTTAATTTATTATTGTTATTTTTGCAGCACTTTCCCCCCAACTTTTTGGGCTGGGTCAACTCCTGAGAAAGGAAAAGTTCCAACCGCGGGAGCGTTTGGTAACGTCTTCCCTGGCTCCTTGATATTCCCACTGAGGTTTTCGGACTTTTTTCCCCTTCTTCTCTCGTTTCTTCCCCTCATCAAACCGTTCTCCCGCGCCCTGGCTCTCGGGGGTCTCTGATGCTGTAGGTTAACCCACCCAAAGGCGCTTGTGCCAGGAGGGCCCTCGCCAAACCCCGCAGTTGGCGCCCGTGTCTGTATGGAACGAATTTTTCTCGGCAGCTCGTCTGGGCCTCTCCCCCGCTCTGTTGTCGGTGGCGGCTCCGGGGACACCTGACCTCGAAGTCCCCACCGCCCGGCTCCGCGGCCCCCGCGCGCGCTGCAGACCGTTTTGCTCACACTCTGTCCTCTTTCTCGCCTTCAGTTCCTTACAAACTCTTCACCGACCACGGCGGCCTCAACGAGAAGCGCAAGCAGAGGCGCATTCGCACCACGTTCACGAGCGCGCAGCTCAAAGAGCTGGAGAGGGTCTTCGCCGAGACGCACTACCCTGACATCTACACCCGGGAGGAGCTGGCCCTGAAGATCGACCTCACGGAGGCGCGCGTCCAGGTACGCGCTCCCGGGACACCACCCGGCTGGGGCGGCCGGGGCTGGCTGTGGGCGCGGGAGCGGGGTGCCTCCGAAGGTTCAGAGCCCGGGGCCTCTCTCTCTCTCGAGGGGCCCGCGGCTCAGGGCTGAACAGAGAGGCCAGGCGTGGAGGGCTGTGCGCGAGAGGAAGGGCCTGGGCGCAGGCTCCCGGCTACACACGTATTCACAGCTGCAGTGTTTTCCACCCCAGCCGGCGCTGCGGAGGCATCCGGGGAGTGCCCTTTGGGGAGATGCGGCCGCTGCCGGCATATTATAAACATATGTGTTTGCTAAATGCCTCCTAATCCACGCGCTTTTAACTTGGAGCTGGCGCGTACAGGTGCATTTTCCAGGGAACGATGACTTGCATCAGGTTCGCAAAGGGGCTTCGACTCCATGAAGGTCAAGAACCAAGGCTTTCTCTGACCTTCTAGGGACAGGGCTCTCTCCAGGGGAGCCGGCCAGTGGAGGGGCAGTGCGCCACCTGCACGCGCGTCTCTAGGCCCAAAGGTCAGGATGTGAAGCGAGCGCCCAACCCAGAGACCCCTCCTCCTTCCACCAATTAGGGTTTATTTAGCTTAGACTCGAGGCCTAGGGCCGCTGGCGAGTTTGGAGTAGCTCAAGAAATAGACTGAACCAAGGTCCGACAAAGTAAGGGCTTTTATTTAGGGCCGTCCTGGGACCGGCCGCCTTTTGACCTCTTCTGTAAGACCCCATTTCCTTGGCACGTTCAAGTCACCCTAAGAAAATTCCTCCGAAGATGCACCAGCAACAAGGGGGTGGGAGCAGACGGGGTGGATTGGGTGCGCGTGGGGGGTACCCACGGCGCGTGGAGTTGAAAAACTAACTCAGATGGGCCGTGCACCCTCCTAACTCGCGCTTTCCTTTCCGGGGTTTCTCTCCCCCCTGCCCCTCCGCCTCCCCTCCCTCCCCTCCCCGGCCAGGTGTGGTTCCAGAACCGCCGCGCCAAGTTCCGCAAGCAGGAGCGCGCCGCAGCGGCCGCGGCGGCCGCGGCCAAGAACGGCTCCTCGGGGAAGAAGTCCGACTCTTCCCGGGACGACGAGAGCAAGGAGGCCAAGAGCACCGACCCGGACAGCACGGGGGGCCCGGGCCCCAACCCCAACCCCACTCCCAGCTGCGGGGCGAGTGGCGGCGGCGGCGGCGGGCCCAGCCCGGCCGGCGGCCCGGGGGCGGCGGGGCCCGGGGGCCCGGGAGGCGAACCCGGCAAGGGCGGCGCGGCGGCGGCGGCGGCGGCGGCAGTGGCGGCGGCGGCAGCGGCGGCGGCGGCGGCGGCCGGGGGCCTGGCGGCGGCCGGGGGCCCTGGACAAGGCTGGGCTCCCGGGCCCGGCCCCATCACCTCCATTCCGGATTCGCTCGGGGGGCCCTTCGCCAGCGTCCTATCTTCGCTCCAAAGACCCAACGGTGCCAAAGCCGCCTTAGTGAAGAGCAGTATGTTCTGATCTGGGACGTGGCGGCGGGCGAGCCGGGGGCCGGGCGGGCGAGTGGGCGAGCGGGTAGGCCCAAGGCTATTGTCGTCGCTGCCGCCCTGGCTTTTTCATGGAAAGCCTAAAGTAATCGCGATAAGAATAAAGAGAAAACGGCGTCGCCCCCATTGCAACCCCACTCTTACCCCAATCCTGAACCCCCAGCAAAACAAAACAAACGAAACAAAGCAAAGCAAAACACTTCCTGGCTTCGCACCTGCCCCAGGGCCGCGCAGACGGCCAGGGCTCCGCCTGTGGACCGGGAGGTGGGAGCGGTGCGGCCTGGACTCGGGGGCACTCTCAGGGGGCTGTGTCTGCGTGTCGTGTGTGTCTGTCTCTGGGAATGTGTATCTGTGGCCCGAGCAGGTGACAGAAAGAGATGGATGGGGGCATAACCAACTCAGTGACTTGCTTAGAAAAAGAGAAAAAGAAACAAAACAAAAAAAACCCCCAAATTAAAAAAAAATTAGGAAGGCAGCAATCGTTTTTAAAAAAAAGATTTTAAAATCTAAGGGTAACAAGTAAAGGGGGAGAGAAGGGAGGCTGCAGCAAGCACTGTCCGGCGGCTCTGTTTTGTGAACCATTATTGGGGTCCCTCCTGACGGCACAGACTCCCTCTGTAGGGGGGACTAAGGAGCCTTCCAGTCCCGCTTCCCCTCCTGTCCTTGGGTTCGGCGAAGACTCCTGCAGACTGTCGCCGAGGCCAAGGGGACGTCCTCGCGCCTGCTTGCCTGTCCCACCTGGCCGAACACCATCCCATCAGCGCTTCCGAGCCCCACGCAGCTGCAACTCCCGAACCCCCAAATCTTTGCAGCCACTCGGCCCCCAAAAGATGCCCTATACATGAGATGCCTTTCATCTGCAAACTGCAAACTGTGTCTCATATTTCAAAACGCTTCCCTGTTTTTCGCTCTCCTGCCACCCCCACCGACATATTCTTCTTCCACCAGCTTTTACTGAACTTTTCGGCACTGCTTTGGATTGGAGTCATTGCAGTCCGTGCAACTGGCTACAGAGAAATCTACCGAGCGAGGGAAAGGCGCGCACACTAGTTTGCAGAAGTGTCTCGGTTTGCACTTCTGTTTGATCCGAAATGGACTCACATCCTGTATGGTGGATGAACTGTATATTGATGATTCCATTCTTCTCGCAGTTTAGACATCTCTGTTGAGGTTTTTTTTTGTTTGTTTTTTAAAATTTTTTTTTAAAAGGCACAAACTATAGATATTAGTTGAATGTTGAGGCTTTAACTTTTTGGGTGTCTTTCTACAACTGTGTTCTGTGACTCAATTGTATCGTGTTAATATCAGTACAGACCGTCTCCTCTACGTGACCGTATAATGTTTTTCCTCTTCTTGTAGTCTCTATGGCGTGTCTTTACGGAGTACTAAGGTTCTCACGGGTTCAATTCCTTTGTGTTTAGAGACCACGGTTCAGACAATGGTATATATTTTTGTTATCAGGTGCATGTCTGTCTGATTTTTTTTTCCTTCTTGTTGGACCTTGTTTGTGAACATAAGCGTCCTAAGTTATGTTTCAGATTTTCAAATTTATTTATATGTGTTATAATGAATGCTTCTATTTAAAAGGGAAATATTTCTACATGTGCATATAGTTTTCCAAGAGTGTACCATTAACTTGATTGTTGATAATAAAAACAAAAAGCAAGTCTAGCGATTGAACTCCTCTGAATTTTCCTCAATTCGTTCTTTTAAATTTAATTTTTAAAATGATGAGGGAGTACAGAGGAAATTGTATAAAATCTCTAGAAGCCACAGTGGCTCTGGAAACCTAGGTTGGTTGGGGAGTGGAAATCCATGCAGCCAAATTCAGCCAGGATAAAATTTAGTGCTTGGGAGAGCAGGCAGGATTCTTCCGGTGGTTTTGAGTCAGGGAGCAAAAGAGAACACCAGGGTGTTGACAAAAATGTTCAGATCAGGGCCTAGGCTGAGGCCCCAGGGATTCCTGGCAGCAAAACAGGAACTGCACACCTGATTTTGAGAAGGACTCAACTGTGGATTCTGAGCTAAAGTGCCTCAAGGACCCATAAGCCCCCATGGGCCATCCTCCTGAAGCCCAATGACTGCCTGCAGCACCCTGTGACACCTGAGGGTCTTTGCATGGGCAGATGGATCAGGAAGGCACTGGGTGGAGAGTAACATTGATGTGTTTTGAGAAATAATGTTGACAACAACTGAAATTATCGAGCCCTGGCATGTACCAAATTGTGCTTTCCATGCATTATCCCATCTGCTTCTCAAAATAACATCATGAAGTAGTGCAATTCCGATCTTCATGTTCTTTTTATACAGATGAGGAAGCTGAGGCAACAGAGAGGTTAACCTGCTCAAGAGCCCTGGGCATGGGTGATGGGGCAAGCCTTTGAACCCAGGAAATCTGATTCCAGAGCCTGTATATTCACTGCACCAGTGGTTCTGAAAGTGTGGTCAGCAGCTCACATGGGAACTTGTTAGAAACAGGAATTCTTAGACCTTATTCTAGACGTACAGAATCATGAACTCTGGGACGGGGGCCCAGTAATCTGTTTTAATAAGCTCTATAGAGGATATTAGAACCACTGAACTACACTCTAAGAAACCCAAATAGGAAGGTTCCAGAATTGGGACTACATTGGGAACAGGGGTGTGTGTATGGGGGTGTGTGAAGGAACCTCTGACAGTTTCAATGATCCCCTTTTGGAAGGAGCAGTCATCAGCACAGCTCCAAGATGAAATTCTGTCTCCATCTTGGACTGTTTGGCAGGGCCACCTTCTTCAGTAGAAGCCTGTGTGAACTTCAGGCACTTAACTTGGTACCCCTGTGGTTGGGCCTTAGAAGTAGATAAGTCAGTTCCTTCATCTGACATCTGAGGGGAAGCCACACTCTGCCTCCTCTGGTCTGAGGATTAGCAGCAGATATGGCTTGAATTTATCAGGGCTTCTCACTTTAAGCATCCAAATATGGCTTGCAGCAGATCATGAAGGTTTCATTCAGAAATTTCAAACCTTTGGATCTAACTTTTAATGGTTTTTCTAAAGGGCTTTTAAATAGTCTTTAAAACAAAATCTGGCCCAGCCAAAGTGGCTCAGTGATTGAGCATCTACCTATGAACCAGGAGCTCACAGTTCGATTCCAGGTCAGGGCACATGCCTGGGTTGCAGGTCTATCCCTAGTGTGGGGGTGTGCAGGAGGCAGCTACCCAATGATTCTCTCTCATCATTGATGTTTCTGTCTCTCTTCCTCTCCCTTTCTCTCTGAAATATATATATATTTAAAAATTTGTCTCTAAATGCCTCTTAGAACCCACCCCTCTCCCCTAGAATAACATTCTATAAACAGTGGCATCAATTGTGCTGGTCTAAGATGCCAGCAGTCACAGATTCCATAGACCCCAATCTTTGGTTGGAAATATAACTTAGAAAAGTCTGGGAGAAGAAAAAATAAAAGCAGGAATTTATTGATGAAAAAAGAATTCAAGGCCCAGGTAACCTAGCCCTGGGGCTTGACTAGAGAAGAATGAGCCTTACGCATTGGGGGCCACCAAGTAAGCCTCTGAGAGCTGATGGGCTGGCCAGTGGAACATGCATTCTGGAGAAGGCAAGACCAGGAGACAGAAAGAAAAGAAGAAGTAGAGAGAAAGGAGAAAGGTAGAGAAAAGAGAGGAAAACCAAGTAGCCAAAGAAACCCCAGTAAAGGCCCCAGAAATCCTTTGAGAAGTGACCAAACTAGATGAGGATACTCAAACTCTTTTTTCCTGGCCTTGACCTGGAAATAATTTATCTCCCGGACAATTGAAACTCTGGGGACTGGTGAGGAAACCATGCTCCCTACCCACCACCTGTCCCAGCTTTCCAGAGGATGGCATTTAAAATCTCTGGAGGCACCGCACTTTGGTATTTCAATATCAACTTCTTTTTAATTTGGGCCACTTCTGCCTCTCCTACTGGTCAAAGAAGCAAAGCTGTTCGTTGGGAGGCAAGTTTATGATCAAATGCAAACTAATGTCTCTGTAATATGATGGAGCCTAGTGGCAGGACACCGTGTCTCTCGGGTTGTGTCATTTCCTTGGAGTCATGCACGGTGTGAACAAGCTCACTTTCACTTTTCCTCTCCCAAGGAATTTGCATTTTGGCTCATCAAGGCATCCTTTTTCCTGGCAACTCCGGGATCACATGTGACTTCACAAAAGCTTCAGGAGCTGATGCCAGATGGCCACCTCTGAGCCAAGTCTCCTTCAAGATGGCCAAGTACAGGAGCCTGAGTGGTTTCAGAGGGGAACTGATAACTCAACATGTAGTAGCTGTCTATCACTCACCCTGATGCTTCTCTGAGGAAGCCAGCTAGATAAAGATGCCCCTCAATTCAGGGAAAGGATCTGAGTGACTTGGATGCTGAATAACTTAATCCCTCCTGATAAGCTTGATTCATCAACTGTAAATATGAATAATAATATAGACTTGTGGGATTGTTGGGGGTATTAAATAAGATACACAGCAAATATCTGAAATAGCACGAAGTTTTCAGCAAATGTCAACTATTATGAATATTATTATTACATCACTTCTAGATTCATTATCTCCCTTGTTCAAATCGTAGAAGATTAGAAGAGACCTCAGCCCTGGCCAGGTGGTTCAGTTGGTTGGAGTGTCATCCCAAAAGAGTTGTAGGATCGAGTCCTAGGTGGTGGGTTCAATCCCCTTGTCAGGGCGCATACAGGAGGCAACTGATCGGTGTTTCTCTAAAATCAGTAAAAAAAATCCTCCCATTGGGAAAAAAAAAAGCTCTCAGTTGTCAAGTCAATGGCCCAGGAACACAAAGTCTGAGAGAATATGCAAAGGCTGGAACTGGAGAACTTTGCTGAGGGTGACAGTAACAACCTAGAATCAGCCAAGGGCTCCCAAGTAATAGCTACTAATATTTATTGAGTTCTCATTATATGCCAGATACTTTTACGTTTATAAGCTTTAAAGCATTTAATCCTTACAACAACCGTATGAGAAAATGATATTCCCATTTTTTTTAGGAGGAAACTGAGGCATAGAGAGGTTAGGTAAGATGCTCAGGGCCACACAGGTAGTAGTACTGAAGCACGAATCTAACTCCGGAGCCCAAGCTCTTTAACCACTTCCCTTTATTATCTCCACAGGGAGAAGAATTCATTTTCAGCCTATGAGGTCATGCACTACCAACCTGGGAGGAGATCTCATCTCTCAAAATGACGCAGAAAGGTAGGTGAAGGTTAGACAGGGCAACAGGAGGAGCAGTACTGGGATGAGATTCCCAGCCAGATTCAGGATGAAGTTTAAAGCTGAAAGGGAGTTGCTTTGGGATCTCCAGCAGGAGGGCAGCATAGTTATAGCTCATGGTCTCTTTCTGGTAAATGAACAAGAGGAGAAGTAGCCAGGGGAATGGAACATGAAAGGAAAAAGGATTACATTTATGAAGTACAGGACATCAGTTGGTGCACAGGAATGGATGCCAGGAAAAGATGTCAACCTCTGGGCTCATCTGTTGCCACCATGACAAGTGGTGCAAATGGCAAAAACCGAATTCTTAATTTTCTAGCTTTGACTGCAGTTGGATGTGCACCAAAAATCTAAACAGATACAGTGACTGGTTGCCTTCACCCAATAGTGTGTTCATGTTGGAGAGTAAAGTATAATGCAAAGGGCTGTGGTCTCCTCAGCATTATCCTAAAACAGTCAATGACCATGTCATCATCATCACAGTGGAATTTTGGATTGTGTTAGTCTTGGCTTAACACAGGAGTTCTTAACCTTGAGTTTATGGGTGGAATTCAAGGAAGATAGGAAAAAATACATATATATTTTTACTAATCCTTACCTGAAATTTAGCATTTTCTTCAAGGATAAATGTAGGCAACGAAGCCATGGTATTATTAGTACCTGTGACTTTGTCACCAATGGAACTCACAAATTTTTTCTTTTTCAATTATAGTCAACATTCAATATTATATTAGTTTCAGGTGTACAGATCACAGATATTTTTATTTCACATTAGAGTTTAATGGTGATGTGATATATCTCAATATATCACATCACCATTAAATTGAAATTATGGTCATTATCAGACCAGCCACTAGATCTTGCTTTTAATTCATTAATAAAGAAGCACATACATGACTGTATTACAAATTTGTTTTAAAATATTTTTGATAACTATTGTAACTGACTTCTTCTATAATACAATGCACTTTGTTTTCTGCATTTAAAAATGTTATCTTGAGAGAGTTCATGGGCATCACCAGCTGCCAAGGGGTCTATGGCATTGTGAAGAGCTCCTGGCTAATTGGTAAAAGCAGGGTGGTCCATCTCTCTGTGAAGCTCTGACACTAAGAACTTCTCATTAGGGCCAGAGCATGTAATTATTTTATTTTACAGGTAGAAGACATTTTAGAGACGTTTTAAACCCATCACATGTTCCTTCAAAGGACAAGATAGAATAAAACAAGTGCCCAAAGCTGAACAAAGAAAGTTCCTGAATTTTGAAGACAGTGAGACATCATGAGAAAGTAGAAGGAGATGCAAAGGTCTCAACAAGACTGGAATATCCTCATACCACTTTTTAAGTGTTTACACGAGCCAGGCCCTGTGTCGAGTGCACACAGAGCAGCCCTCTATGACAAAGGCAGTGCATCC